TAATTATTTTGTGAAGAGTTTTGTGTATTTCTTCGTTCTGGTGATCTTCCTCTATAACTTGAGTTATATGGTGATTGATTCCTTGTGTAATTTGTATTGTTCCGAAGTGGTTTTCCTGAACTGTTATTACTATATATATTTTTGTTTGGTAGATTTTGGTCTTTTTTCATGTTTTGATAGAACGATTTATTTGGTTCTTTATGCTTTTGAGGTTTATTCTGATTGTCTTGTTGTTTTTGTCTACATTCGGAAATACTGTGTCCGTATCGTCGGCAATAATTACACCATTTTTTGAAGGATGGTTTGCCTTTAAAATTTGGATGTTTTTCATAGATATTCAGTATTCCAGTGATTTTTTCAATTAGGTCTGTATCTGATTCCTGTATGTTATTTTTATGTGTAGTGTTTGTTTCAATTCGATTAACATATTGTAGTTTTAGATTTTCTGTTTCTTCAAAATTCATTGTGATTTCCGCTTGCTCTATTTTATCTACTAGTTTTCATAAATCTAAGTCTGGTTCTCGAATTGAGGAAGGATGAGATGCTCTCTTTTTTATCGCTATTTTCCTTAATTGAGGTGTTAAGGTCATCATTAAAATTTCTGTCATTTTTGTGTTTTTATAATCATGTGTATTAAGTGAATTTGCTTTTCGAACTAGTGTTTCGATGCGTACTGCTAATTGTTTTGATAGTTTCATCTGGTAATCTGCGAATTTCATTACATAAAACTCTTTGGTGTTGTTTATTTCTTTCGGAGTCAAACATTTTTGAAAATTCTTGTGTAAATCTTTTCCAGTCTGATTTTATTTCTATAGGTAATACTGAAACCATTTTTGAGCTGCGCCATCTAAGGTTGTTTGTATCAATGCTGTGCGTCTATGTATCCAAGTTTTATGTAGTGGCGTATTAATTGGTTCAGGTCCTATATTTAAAATTAAATTTGCTGTTACTGCATTTAAATAATCTTCTACAGAATATTCAGGGTCTGTTCCTGTAAATACCATCAGTGGTTTATTGGATTTTATTGATGATCCACCCATGAGGTATGGATTCATTGTCATCTGTAGTGATTCTGCGGCATTTGGCATTTGCAAAAAAATTGAAAGTTGATTTTTGTTATTTCGTGTTGCTGAAGGTAATATGGGAGCGGTATTTCATTTTGCATTTGAGTTGGTTGATAAGAATGCATTGACATTGGATTTTGTGGTTGTATTGGTTGAAAAGATTGTGTGTTAAATGGATTTTGTATATGCATTTGTTGTGGATGTTGTACATCTGTTGGGTTTTGTGGGTAAATTTTCATATTTCGAGATGGTTGAGGTTGTCGTGGTCTTTGTGTGCGATATTCTTTAGTATATGGTGCAAAAATATCAGGTTGGTGATAATCATCTTCATCGGATGATAAATAGTTTGTATTAAATGGTGTATGTTGTTTATTTTTATTTTGTTGAAAGAATGGGTAATTTTCAGTATAATCCTGTGTAGGTTGTGGATTATCTGGAAAATTTACTGAGTTTGTTGATGTTTTCGGGAGATTCCAATAATGAGACCATACGTGATTTAAATTTTGTGTATTTTTTCGGGGAGGTTGATTGGTTCTTTGTTTGTGAGCATAATTATAATTATGTTCTGCAAAGGTGTTTCTTGTGAATGTTTTTCGTGTTTTTGACGGTATTGTCATTGGTCTATATGTTTGATAATCCATATGTGAATACTTTGGAGCAACCGAAGGTTTAACGGTTGATTGTAAGGTTACTTGTGCCAGTGAAGTATTTGTATTTCTTGGTGTTGTTAAATTTGGGTGTATTGGTGAAATACTTTGTTGTGTAGTTGTTGTTGCTTGGACAATTTTTTCATTTATGAAGTGTGATGGTGTTTGAATATCTTGTTGTGTAAGATTTCTAGTTCCATTAAGGTTTTCATTGTGTATGACGGTCGAACTTAAACTGTTATTTCGTGTATCAGGTAAAAATGTTTTGTAGTTTAATGGTATTGCATCAATGGTTAATGGTATTACTTTTACATAATCTCTGTGATAAGATATTGTACTTATTGCTTGACTTGGGATAGATTGTGCGATATTTATAAATGTAGGATGAGACCATTCAGGGTCCCAAACGTAGTCTGCTTGTTCTGTAATGGCAGTGTCATCATTTGAATTTTGAGGTCTGAAATTTTTTCTTGCTTGTGAAATTAAGTCTAAATTATGTGTGAAATAATCTATTATAAACCATGCCAAAATTTTTTGTAAACCATGTTTAGTGTGTTGTGAAACATCATCTTTAAGGAAATTTTCTTTGATTATTTGTAAAAAAGTTGAAAATAATGCAATTTCATTTCGTACTTTGGTATGTTTGGATGTTTCAGTTGGTGAAATACTTTGAAATTTTGTTTTTTCTAATATAGAGATATAGGTATATATTATTGCAAAAACTTCATTAGTGAATTTAGAGTTTGCTCACTGTGAATTATGATATTGTATGCTTTTGATATATTCTAGGCACACTTTTGAAAATTCTAATTCAAGATCATCTGTTTGAATTACATATTTACGATGATTCGTATTTGGTGTGCTGAATTCTATGGTGTAGATTCCATATTGTTGTGTTAAGTTACATATGTCTTTCAAATATTGTTCAATAATTTGTCTTTTGATTTTTACATCTGGGAATTCTGCTTCGCATGGACTGATTCCGGGTTCAAACAAATTTACGAGTAAATTATTGCAAAAATCATGTTGCCCTCTATCATTGGGTGAATCTATGAGGAAGGGGTAAACCTCTTCGTCATCTGGACTATCGTCACTTTGAGTGTGGCTCATTTTTTCTGTTTGATGACTGTTAATATATAGCTATCAAGGTGTCTAATTGGTTGATTCCAGTTATACAGGTGTACTGGTTTGTGTTTGTATTGCTTTTTTTCTTCTTTTTCCTCTTTTTGATGAATTTGAAGTTGTTTCTGAATCGGAAAAATATAATTGATCGTGAATGGGACAATTTTTATTAATTGATTCTTTTAATTTGTAGAATTCATCTAAACTGCTGGCTTCTGATTCAGAAAATGCGTTTCTATTTTTTGAAAAACTTTTTCGTGTGATTTGTCTTTGTTTGTTTATAATTTTTCTTTTTATTGTTTGTCGTTTTGTTCTAATGTATCCCACTGTTTGTGTATGAGGTGTGATTACAAGATCGTATTTTTTGTTATCTATTTCACAGTTGTGTAAAACGATTGTTTGCTTATTTCCTAGATTTTTGAATGACATAAGGCTTAGGATGAGGGATGCAAAAAGTTGTTAGGTATTTCTATTTTCTTAGACTGTTAGTCCTTACGATTTTTTGGTTAGCTTAACCTGGGTCTTTTTATTTAGGGTTGGAGAGAAAAGTATATCGATTCCGAAGAATGATTGCTTACTTTCTCGTGGCTAGTCTAAGCTAAGGTGTTAACTTACTTAATCTTACTTAGGGGTAGTGATTGTGTTCAAGGGTTGGAGAATAGTAAATCGATCCACAAGGTTCAGGTATAATTAGAACGCAAGTAGTTCGTTAGATACTATTTTAAACTTACTAAGTCTAAGATCTATCCTGGGTCTGGTAAGAGGAGGGTTCAAGTGAAGGATGAATAACCGAAGTTCTTCACTGTTTATCTTAATTTGAAAGGTTAGTTTTATTTAAAAATTTCTATTAATTTTGGGTCTTTTGGAAGGGTTGGATAGTGAATCGACGTTTGAGGTCGTTAGACACTTGCTAAGTGGGTGTGGGAAAACAAAATTGTTCTTTTTGATCCAAGGATAGGCCTTGATGATCAGGTTTTAAATTTAGTGAAATAGAAAAATTAATTAAGATCCAAGGATAAGCCTTGATGATCTGATTTTAAAATTAAATGAATTTAAGTTTAAAATGGTTTAAATTTATTTAAAAAAAAGATTTAGTATTTTAAGGATATTAGTGAGCTTATGATTGCTGTTATGTTTAGGTGATGAAGCTGGGACAACAGATGATTTATGATTACTAACAATTTATTGTCATGCTACTAATTTTTGTTTTCATTTTCAATAAATATTTTTCAAATTTGTTTTATATAAGACTGCAGAAATTAAGAAAACGATCTGAGATCTTTTTATCAATCGTTATTGTACATTAATAATTTTGTTTAGCGCCTGAAATGATCATGAAGATTGACTTCAAAATTTTATGTTTGCAAATGAAAATCTAAATTCATTGCTGATAAGATTCTAAATACAAAAGTTTGTGTTGGCTTTTGCCGTACAATCATAAAACTAAATGGTAAGTTTCTACTTTGTCGTATGTCGTCTTTTGTTTGAGGTCTTCTTCCAATTCCGGGTAGTTCTATTATTGTGCGGAATATCGGCTCTGATCTATTGAGTCGTAGAGACATTTCGATTAAACTATTATCGTATAATATTTTGAAAATGTTTTGTCTAAATTCTAATCTATTTTTGGTTAATTCTAAGCTATTAAGGTCTTATTCGAGACTTATGTTCGCACCAGATGAGTTAGAACCGATGTGGTTAACTCATAGAGTAATTTCGGATAGGGTACACCGTCTGCTCGTCACGCTATCTTATTTTCGGCCGGATAGATTCGTGCAACTTCTTAGTCTAATACCGATCCTAATCTTACTCTTATACTTTCTAGTCTCAGGGTGTTTAACTAGTCTCTGCTAGGCTCAATAGATCTAGGGTATACTGGTTTATTGCGGCTGCTGAAGTTCTCTTGGAGAGACAATTAATTTCTAAGTTAAATTCAAATCTCTCTGGTGCTGAAATTGCAAGTAATTTCAGCACTTACAAATAAGTGGGTTGTTAGTTAGATGGATTATGATTGGTTAATATTAAATGCTTTACAGTGGTAAAATATCCAATTTATCCAATCATAAAATATAGTTTAGATCAGGTTCCACTTTTGAAACAATAAAATCAAATTAAAAATCTCTTTAAAATATTAATTTAAAACTTCGTTGACAAACTTCGTTGCTTACAGCATCTCCAGTGCACCTGACGAAGACTACGTGACAATTCACCTGCGAGTTCTGGGGGATTGGACAAAAAGGTTCCATGACACTTTAACTGCGACTTCAGAACAGGAGCTCACCGTCTTCATAAATGGACCATATGGCATGTCCGACGTCCACAATGACGATGACTGCCGATTGTTCATGATGATCTCTGGAGGTATAGGCGTCACTCCGCTTCAAAGCATCACAAGTGATTTGGTTTCTAACTCGCGAGACGGTAGGCCAATTGAACGAATTATGTTCATCTGGTCAGTAAGAGATGTGCACATGATTAAAGCTGTTTTAAACTTCGACCACGACTATTACGATCAACAGTTGCCAAAATCATTGCCCACAAGTTTCCAGCCCGATTTGCTGGACCAATTACGAAATGAAAAATCAATGTGCCAGTTAGACACTTACTATCACATAACAGATGTGAGAAAAGAGAGTCAGCGTGATCAGGGAAATGTTCACCCGAGTATTCAATCGAATCTGAAAATGGGTCGACCGCATCTTTCTCAGTATTTTGAACGGATGTTCGAGACTGCTATTCGAGAGGGTGAATCGAAAGTTGCCGTGTTGTGTTGTGGTCCATCTAGTATGGTGGCTGAAGCCCTGATGTTCTCATCAGCTTGGTCCAAGGATGGTGTCACTTTTGATTTCTATCCAGAACTCTTTGAGCTCTAAGAGAGCGTAGAAAAATTAACAGTTATGAATTCAACCGGGTTGTAAAAAAAGCTAATCATACAGTTCCTATGCTATGGCCCAATTTTCTATAGAATTTTTAGAAAAAGAGCTTAATTTTTAGAATTTATGACAAAAGCGTTCTCTGTTTACGGATAACGCGTTGATTATCTTAAGCAAGTTGATAGAAACTTCTCAATTGATGAGACTAACAAGTCATGACAATTTGCCACTTTTTAAAAGTATTGTAAATAAATTATTATGATTGTAATATATAAATAAATAGATATAATTCTATCGATTAGCCTTAACAGTTTTATTCGATGACAAATCCTAGACTGATATGATGGATAGAATAACAAAACTGCTTGCACATAAATGATCAGACTGACGAAAAAAAAATTCCGTCAAAAATTGATTTGAAAAAATCGGGTGTTTTTTTAATTAATTTTCAATTTTTTTGTTTTCTTTTTATCCCTTCCAGGGGCGGATCTAGGATTTTCTCGAGGGGGGGGGGGGCGGATTTTCAAAACTTTTTTTGAAACTTTGACGACCTTTTTTAGGCCGACCAATTTGATTCTCCGAGCTCTCCCAAAATAGTATATAGACCCTGATTTGGCCAAACATAAAACTCGATATTTTGAAAGGTGGGGGGAAACTGGAAAAGAGCCAAAATGACGGAATAGTTGTGCATATTCCATGCTATTAACGCGTGAACGGCTTTTTCATCTACTCATAAATCGTTTAAAAATTACCACTAAAAAATTCACAATCAAATACAATTATATATACAAAAACCGGGAAGACAACTTTAGTAAACGAACAGCACCAAACAATTGGTCACTTGATTTATTAGCACCAGGCGTTTTCAGATAGTATATACTCATCGAGTTTAATATTATATGTATCTCGACAAATACATATAATTCAAAACGTATACTTAAAAAACGGATAACCTGTCAATCTGCTAGGCAATAATGTGAAGAAACAATAATAAGAAACATGCTAGGCAATAAATGTGAAAATTACAAAAAAGTTCTCCGATTTCATCTGCATTGTCAAGTTAATTTAACAGAATAAACGGTTGTTTTGTCATATCAAGCTTACTACGTTATCAATCGCGACAATAAATTCATTTGTGGGCCCATTTGATTGAATATACAAATAGCGCGACTAAAAACGTTATTTAACGAATGAAACGTAATTTGTTCATGCTACGCACTAAAAACGACCAAAAATTTATTTTTTGAAAACTCTTGAAGATTTGCAAAATCGAAAACGCATATCTGAGAGAATTTCAAATGAACAGAAATCCTGCGAGTTGCTCAATTTCGTGAATTACGTTCGTCCAATAGTACATAAGCGCTTAGTTTCAGTGAGTTTTGAATAAAAAAAAATTTGCTGACGGTTTTCACAGACGTTTTTGTTATAATTTCTTGATAAGATATTTTTAATTGCTCTCACTTGCAAAGCGTAAATTCATCTTTTTGTATGTTTTTAACGTATTTTGTTTCAGTTTATTATGAATTACGAGGCCAAACTGTGCACTAGATAGGCGCACAACTTTGTGTCTGTTTGTTTCTGGATTCCGGAGACAACTCTTCAAACATGTTCCAAAAATAAAGTGGATTTCTCTAACAAAAATTCAGTGGATTCCGCGCACAAATACCTGTAACGTAATTTTTGTCGGCACATTGATTTTGCTGCGGATTCTGCAACGAGCGATTATAGGTCGTTGTTCCGGATTCCGCAAATGCAAGCGGATTCTGCAAATGTAAGTGGATTCCGCAAATTTATGCGGATTCCGCTTACAATTTGCCGAATCCACTAACAATTTGCGGATTCCATTTACAATTTGCGGATTCCACTTACAGTTGTGGATTCCGCAACAGCTCAAGTTTACTAAACACATATATTAATAATTGTTCGTGGATTCCACAATCTCGTTCTGGATTCCACACATTTTGTTTTTGGAGCAACTTTGAGCTGTACAATGTTTTAGTTATTTGTCCGTGGAATCCAAAACAGCAGAGAAGATCAAAGTAAATTAGCAATCTTGCGGATTCGGCGACAAATCTGATTTTTTCCTGTTGCGGAATCCGCTTGCAATTCACAAAGTGCACAATTTGACCTCGTAATGTGGTTAATTTGAGAATCAAAATAATAACTGCTAACGTTAGATATGCTGAAACCTAACCATCCTTTCCAATTTTTGTCAAATTAGGAGTTGATTTTTGCTGAACAAATAACAATTTGAGCTTGTTTTGTAAACAAAGTGTTTCATTCAATCCATATATTGGACCACATAACCTCAAAACTGTTTTAATTACTGTGTAAGAAGATTAAAAACAATTAATAAGAAGTTTAAAATACTTTGTGATAAAGATTTCAATAATTTAAAAAAAAATTTTTGAACCCGAGTTGAGATGCTCGACTTAGTTGTGACTTTGAGGACCAAAAGTTGAAATTTTGCGACTAAAAACCGTCTGCCGAGAACCATTCGAAATCCAGCATAACTTCTAAAAAAAGTTTGAGAGTGTTGAAACAACTTCAGTCAAAAATGTTGAAATATTTGAATAAACTGGGTCGAACACGATTATTTGGAAAAAGTTATCTGTTGAAAAAATCAATATGGTTGAAACATACCCAACTATTGCCCAGAAAGCCGAAACAGTTCTAAACTGGATCCATAACAGTCAAACGCATAATTTATCGGTTTGAAAATTTTGAAAAATAAGTCGAGCTCCTCGGCTCTGGTAACTCTTGGAAATTCAGTTCTCCAAATTTATGAAAACGGTTGTACGGTTGTAAGTTAGCGCAATGAATGTGATTCGTGTTTTTAACAAATTCCGCGTATCTTAAATTTTTTTTCTACTTTTTTCACAAACATTCTTCAGCTCTTAATTGCTTAATTGCAAGGTACATCGAGCATTTTCTTACTAAATTCTTACTCCAAAAATATTCTAGCCCTTAAAGCGGTTGCTGATTCGGAAGTTTGATTCTCTATCAAAATCCTTCCAAAACATGATTGGGAATAAATCCAGCCAAACCTTTTTAAAGTATTCTGTAAAATTTTGCAATTGCGGGTCCCGAGTTTTCAAAGCCAGAAGGTAGGTGGACAAACGCTCGATAACAATTTCGAACTAAACCTAATGGCAAAGACGGGTGGGCAAAAACTTTTCGCATTGCTTTTTAATGTTTTAGATTCAATCTGTAGGCAGTATTTAGTCCAAGTGAACGTAACCTTTGGATGATTTCCTGCGTAAAATGAAAACAGAAAGCAAAATGGAGACTTAGTGGGGAAATTTTTGCTACGCTAAGGTTGCTTTAAATCCCCTTTCGTAGTCGGAATAGTCGGATAAAATGTTATCTGTTTGAAAAGATTATTAATTTTATTCATTTTTTTCTAATACTATTAAGTGAATGATTCGAGTAAGGTCGTGAAATAATCCGAGGTAAATCTGAACTTCTGGTTACACGGGTTCTGCCAGATTCATCGGAACAAAAAAAAAATGTTAACTATTTGAATTTTTTTCCGGAAAAGAAAGCCATCTGTTACCTGATTTTGACAATCGGGATCTGAGTAGCTAGGCTGAAGTTAAAACATTTGATCTGACTTTCGAAGAAAACGGAATATTCGATGATCGAAATTATTGTTTTTTGACAAATTTTTGTTACAGTATTGGAGATAGATGTCGACTATCTACCTGAAATTATAGAAAAAAGATATTTTACCCGCGTTCATTATTTCCTAAATTCTGAGAACTAAAAGTAGCCAATTTTGTCATTTTCTTGACTATTTAAAGCGCGCTTTGAAAGTTTTATTCATAACGCTGAAATGAGTTTTATTTATGCGTGGTGAATTATCCCGCTCAACAAAATTGTTCCCGTTTAAGTTTAGGATATCTAATCAGTCGTATTATTTCGTTTTAGTTCAGGGGTAATTGGAGCATTCAGAGCTTTGCGCTGATTTACGAGTAGTTTTAAAATTAGTTATAATTGAATTAATTATAATAGGATATCTAATCAGTCGTATTATTTCGTTTTAGTTAAGGGGTAATTGGAGCATTCAGAGCTTTGCGCTGATTTACGAGTAGTTTTAAAATTAGTTATAATTGAATTAATTATAATCGAAATGTAACTGTTTACATTGAAATCATTTTTAATAATATATTTGTTGTTAGTTTTGGAAATATTGCTAACAATTTTTCGATTTTTTTTGGCGCATTATTGATATCGAATTGTTCAACTGGTTGTTTGATCAGATTTTAAATTTTGGTATCTAATCTGTTTTTATTGTACTAATTTAAACTCGTTTAATTGCCTTACTTTACAAAATGCTCAACAAACAAAATTGGAAAAACTTATGCGTTAAAAAGAGTCGCATTTTCGTTCCTGGTTAGTTCAATTAGAGATTAAAATTATAAACCATTCATATCTCCTTAACTGTTTCTCATTTTATTATCAATTTTAGGTCTGCAATATTTGAAGAATTTTTGTTGCCTTTTCAACATTACTCTTAATTTTGATTCGAAATGAACTCATTAATTTATTCAAAACCCGAGATATTCAGTTTTACCGGTGGTTACCATTATGGTAAATGTGATGGAATCATGAGAAGAATAATGATTGTTTTTGAAGGCTTTGAAAAAATATTTAAAAAGTATTCATGTTTTGTGTTGTGTGTGCTTATTTTGAATTTGCAATTTAATATTTTCAGTATGATTTTTCAGTTTTTTTTTTGTAAATTTGAAGTTAGTGCTGTTGCTATATTACTTTTTGGATCGTGAAGTATCACAGATGGATTTAATAATTGAATCTCATTCCAGGTACCAATATTTATGATGTTAGGTTCTGCGCCCGAGTCGATTAGAAAACTTTTTTGGAGATCTGGAGATTGATAACAGTTTTTGTAGTTTTCTAGAAAAAACGGTAGAATCCAAAAAATTTATTTGGTCTGGTCATTTATACAGTTTTGTATGATTTGAATATCTTTGTTGCATCTACATTTTGGTATAAACTATTAGTGCTTTCGTGAGTTGTCATTTGAAGTGGGATATGTGCTGTGCCGGCAATGTGTATTTTTTGATATAATTGGCGTTTCTATCTGGTTGTTTATAATGATATTAAAAAGACGTCATAAATTTCCTTATTATTTGATTCTCAACATATTAATCGTTAGTGTGCTTTCGGTATCACTATCGTCATCTGAGCTCATACAATGAATGTGAAATAACTGTTTTGTTAGGATGTAATTTGTGTCAATACCTGGGGATCTGTGGTTGTTTCTGAAATGGGTTGTACTTGATTTGTTTGTCTTGACATTTTGGTGAGCTACTTCTGTGATTTTGGTATGATCGATTTGAACTTTGTGAATCGTTACTTCCATTTGAGGGTTTTAAAACACTTCTAGATGTTCTGTTTTGTAGCTATTGCTCCTATTTCTCTAATTCTAATTCTATGAACTTTCTCCTGGTCTGTGACTATTATCCCTGTTACTATAATTTTTATTTGAGTTGTTTCGATAGCGATCGTTAGAATAATTTCTATTGCGATTATTTGAGTAGTTTCGAGAAAAGTCATTTGAGTACTTCTTGTTATGATTGTTTGAGTAGTTGTTTGAGTAGAGACTACTGCTGTAATAGGAGTAGTTAATTCTAATAGAGTTTAATCTTGAATGATTATTTTTAAGTTGACTATTCGATTATTAGAACGGTTATTTTATTTTATTGATTATAGTTTGGAATCATTCTGTCCTAGGGTCCTCCTCGAGAAATACTATTGTTTGGTGATTGTGATCGATAATAGTTAGAGTTGTAGTGGTTTTCCCGAACTATTATGATTTGAAATTTTCCATTCGGTAAATTTTGATCTTTTTTCATGCAATGATAAAAAGATGTATTTGGTTCTTCATGTTATGACGGTCGATTTGATTTGTCTTGTTGTTTCTGTCGAAATTCAGTGATACTGTGCCCGTATTGTCTACAATAACCACCCATTTTTGAATGATGCTTAATTTTTAAAATCTGGGTTTTGATTGTATATGTTAAGTACTTGTGTGAGCTTTTTCTGCTAGGTCACTTTCAGAGTCGTTTATATTGTTGATACGCGATATAATTGTTTGAAAGATATTGTAATTTTATGTTTTCTGTTTCATCTAATTTCACTGTGATTTTTGCTCGTTCTAAATTATTTACAGCATTTCTGAAATCAGTATCTGGTTTGCGAATTCATTAAGGTTGTGATGCTTTTTTCTTGATAGCTATTTTTTTAAATTATGGTGTTAAGGTCATCATCAAAGCTATATCATTTCCGTGTTTTTACGAAAACGCATAGCAAACAAAATAAGTAAAAGTCTTGCGTTAAAAAGTATTCGCATTTTTGTTCTTATTCAGTTCAATTAGAGAGTAAAGTTATAAGCCATTCATATCTTTTAACTGGTTGTCATTTTAGACATCAAAAGTTAGGTCTACCAAACTTGAGTGATTTTTTTGAGATTGATTTTGTAATAGAGATTTTGATACGCTATTCTTAAAGTTCATCTCACCTTGACCACTTCACTTTCCCTTTGAAATAGAATAGTGCATATTTGTAAAAATCTGGGAGCAACCATGAATAATTTTGCCGAAAATATTTTTTCTTGTCAATAGTTGCAAAACGATCACAAATCTCCAATGATGTTAACTCCTGGATAGTAGCCAATTATAATGGATTTTCATGTTCTGTCTCCACAAAAGTCTGAAATTATCGATTTAAATGAGCAAAAAATCAATTATTAACCAAAAAAACATTAGAAATCAACTTAAACCGTTAAAATCTATTATAAAGGATTATCACTTTTTTGCATCGAAAAAACCTCGTTTTCCAAAAATCTCTCCGTATAGATTCAAAACTAGAACATTGCAGTTTTAAAATTGAGATTTTTATTTGGCTTATCGTAAAAACTGCTGTACTGTTTTGTAACAATTTTATTCACGATTGCTTTTTCAACGTTGCTATCTTGGTAGTTTATCCCCCATCATTAAAAGTGCATCACCCCCTCATAAAAATCACCCCTTCCGCTTCACATCTTTTAAAGTACTAGTTTTTGCTGCTTTTCAGCTCCGGCGCCACTTATTCCAACTGAGGGATGGGGTGAACGGAGAAAATGAAAGGATTAAACGCGCGTTATAAATTTCAGTAGGTTTAGAATTCGAGCAGGCAGTAAAAACGGCAATAAATCTTGCAAATTTACACATAGTTTGTAAAAAAAATTGTAGGGATTATAATCCATTATAATCCATTATGATGTTTTTTAATGGATTAGGATAGATTTAATTTTTTTTCTGAAAAAAAAATGAATTTAGTGGATTATAATCAATTGCATAGTCCCAAAGTGTAATTATAATCAATTTCAATGGCATCATTTTTGACTGTCTTCAAAAATTATATATAATTGATTTTTATTCATGGAAACTCATTTCGGGAAAACTTGAAAGAAATATTTTCATTAGTATTGAGGACAAATTATACATTGAAAGGTTTCATGGCAACTGCAACGATTTATTTTGAAACTCTATTGACGAAATTTTGACTGGAATTTAGAGTTCAACCAATTTTTTGCTTTTAAAACTGGTTCCTGAAACGGCTTCATCATGACAAAAACAATCAAAGAGTTTACAAAACCGAAACTAAGTCTGAAGCCGCGCAATACAGTATCAGTTCGCATTGCTATCTCCTGTGACTTCTTAAGTTTTTTCAATGAACCGTCAAACAAATTAAGATTAAAGGTTATGTAAGTAACAGCTGAATAATCAACCAATTCAATCGCCTCTGCAAACGTTTCAGGCTCACCTTAGATTAAATAATCATGTGACGTTAAAAATTATTTCATAAATTTAAATACTTAATGGATACATATTTTTTCAGTTTCTGAAAAATATTTATATTCTTTGCTTTGACCCTTAAAGTAGTGTAATGATCTTGCCCGGCATGGTTTTGTTTCTCCAAGGCAAGTGTCGACGTTTTGTTAGACAATTTTTGATATATTTTTTTAGTTTGTTAAAACACTTCAAAAATATTTAAAAAAAAGATATACTTCATAGTTTTAAAAAAAGATATTTCACCTGCAAAGTTGAAAAACGTTCCACCTGTAACGTTGTTTTGTAAAACTGTTAAAGTTGAAAAGAATAAATTTAAATTTTTAAATTAACTTTCCCAGGAAGCTCAATTAGATGCGTCAAAAAGCAAAAAGAGCAATACAAATTTTGCCCTAAAACGAAGCCCGCCCCTGGTTCAATTGACAATTATTATTGTTGAAAATTGAATGCATCAATTACAAACAATCTTCTTCCGCAATCAAAAACATAGTTTATCATTTTTTTTTGCCAAAGAGTCCCGATTTTTTTTTCAGAAAAGTTTCTTAGCATTGCAGTTATTATGCGAAAAGCAAAAAATTCCGACATCATTTTTTTTTCTTCAAAATAGTGTCATTTCTTCCGCGTGATATGATGAAAAAACTATACCAACGCAAGTAGATGTTTCAATGGTTGCAACCAAAAAATTTTCAAAAGACAATTTGCTAAGACTCGCCGGTTTTTGAACAAACCATTTTTGTAGTTTTCCTGGATGCTGAGCAAGTAGCGCAGAAAATTCCAACAACAATTATTTAAGTGAAGAAAAACTAAAAAGCTGGCTTTTTTAACTTGGATTGTTTTTTTGTGGCGTGTGGAGAATCCAGATCTTCAAAAAATCTTAGTAAAGCGATTACAGGACCATTACGAGATCAAACTGTGCATTTCGTGAACTGTAAGCGGATTCCGCGATAGGTCAAAATCTGGTTTCTCGAGAAATCAACAACATTGTTACTTTTCTTGGATCTTCTTTGCTGTTTTGGATTCCACAAACAAATAGCTAAATCACTGTAAAGCTCAAAATCGTTCCAAAAACAAGCAGCGAGTTTGCGGTATCCGCAACAGTAATTGTTCAATTCACAAAAGTTTGTGTAATCCACAAAAAATAGTAAAATTTACCTTCAGTAAAGTTGCACTGTTGCAAAATCCACAACTGGAAGCAAAATCCGCAAATTGTAAGTGGATTTTGCAACTTGAATGCGAAATCCGCATTTTGTTTGAGGATTCCAGTAACATATATAGTAGCGTCTGCAAAACAAATCTTTTCTCTGGGCTCTTTAGTTATTCCCCCACCCTACGGTACCTATGACGAATCTTTCCGAATTTATCCCTCCTCCCCTTATAAAGAAATAATCAGCAGTTAAGCATATGAGGTTTTGAACCTAGTAACAAATCTCCCTCTTTTGAATCTCATCGAATCTCCTTCTTTTGTATCTACTAAAGAGTATTCACCTCTGAAAACAACAGTAAATTACGACTAAAGTTTTCTATTGAAAGTTCTAATTTTGTATCGTTCTGATTAGTCAAAAATCGAAGTAAGCAGTACCACCTCATCCAAAAATTTTCTATTGAAAGTTCTAATTTTGTATCGTTCTGATTAGTCAAAAATCGAAGTAAGCAGTACCACCTCATCCAAAAATTTTCTATTGAAAGTTCTAATTTTGTATCGTTCTGATTAGTCAAAAATTGAAGTAAGCAGTTTCAGCTCATCCAAAATACTGCCTTCATGATTGAATTAACTGTATCATTCATCTTAAATGCTGCCTTCATGATTTGAATTGACTCTCCGCCAACTAGATTAGTACTTGGCTTTAGAGGAATGCCAAATTCCGTCTTACTTCAATGATATGCTTTGCGTTGGGTTTCGAACCATTCTCAACCCATTAATCTCAAATAAAGGATTTTTTTCTGGTGTGAGATGTTAAATTTCCAAATTTATCATCCCAAAATTTGCTTGCTGAGAAACGTGTCCCAAATACTAAAGGGTGACATCCAAACATTTAGTTAACCAAACCAATGTGTTAAAATTTTTGTGTGGATTCCGCTGACAATGGTTAAGTCCTTGCTTTTAAATTCCGCATTAACAGATAATAAATCCAGCTCTGGCTTTTAGCTGTTCATATGCAAGAACTGGTCTAAATCAGTAATAAACAAAATTGCGGAATCCACTTACAATTTGCGGAACCCACTTAAATTTTGCGGAATTCGCTTGAAGTTGTGGAATCCAGAACAACTAGCTAGATTCGTTTCTTGGGGAATGCGCAAAAAAACAAATGTGCCGACAAAGTTTACGTTACAACTATTTAACAACTAGCAAAAACATGTAATTTCAAATTTCCAAAAACTATAATTTAAAATCTGCAAATCAGTCTCTTAATCTGATAAAGGCAGTTGTTGAGCAGCACTTTCAGTGAAATCAAGCAAGAACCAGGAATCAGAGCACAAAAATTTCATAAATATTTGGCAGATCATTTTACTAAAATTGGAACTAAGCTCTAGTTTTTGCATTGGGACCTACAAAGTTTAGTCAGAAAATATGGCTCGACTATGAATTCGACATTTAACGAAAAATTTTTACGCATTTAAGATCGAAAGAAAGCTCAATAAATTGGTAAACCTTATAAATTGTTTTTTTTTATATCAAATTATGGTGGACCTGAGAAAACCTGAGACATGCATAAACGTGCGTTTCAACGCTCTGTGAATTTTTTGATGCAACTATTTTTTTAAGACTTATAGTTTAAGAAGAAAAAGCTTTGCGAAAAAGGAATTCTTCAGAACTTGAACGTCAAATGATGAATTGAAGTTCGTTTGCCTTTCATTTTGAAGTCCATGAATAGAATATGAGGCCAAACCAGAATAACCCAACTGATCAAAATAGTAACAAACGCTTTGTTTAGCAGGCCACTTCTTGTAACACTGGACGCTTTCAGAGCGATCGAGCTTCGATAATATAGAAAGCCGCTTGAAGCTACGACGGCAATATTGATAACTAAGCGAAAATATGGTTCTAAAAATTTGACATGGTTGCGTAGACAATCCTTGCACTGGAAGTCTTTTGGCTGAAACAAACAAATTTTGCACATGTGGAGAAGAGACAAGTTTTGTAAATAGTTTTTATCGAGGAGTTCTACAAATTGTTTGAAGCCTTCGAGAAAAATGAGATTTACCTTTTAGCATGGTTGAAATCTCCATTGACTTACGTGTTGAATTTCTGGGTATTTTCGCTTATACCTAAATTATGAAAAAAATGAAACGCAAATTTTAATTATATAATTGGGAATTGGAATTGTTACTAGGAAATGCATCATAATATTGAGGGGACTAGTAAAAACGAATTTTACTTAATTGAGCCTCAAACTGACTTTTTTCTCCAATTTTTGCCAATTTTCTGAGCACAAATTTCATTAAAATGATGCTAAATGCGTTTTTAATTGTCGTTAAGTTAGCATTTTTTGCTAGTTTTTAGCTTGGATTAACGCTCGGGATATCAGCCCTGCATGTTTAAGGAAAACCAGTTAAGCTTTGTAAGTAAAAAATGCATTTTTTTTTGTCATTTTTATCATTTAGAGGGGGGGGGGGGGGGTATAACCAAAAAAAAACGATTTGTCAATGTTCAAGGTTAAGACGATTCAAGGTTAAGACGATCTGTCCCCAAATGAAACCCGGGTTGATTTCATATTGAAAATTAGCGATAAAAAGTGAAAAAAAAAGAATTTCTCAAAGTCTAAAAATTTTAAACCCGCTCTTGAACATTCTCGATCCGCATAATAAAAGTTGAAGACAGCAAATGAAAATTTTAGTTCCGCACCTGAAAATAATAGATCCGCATGCAACAAACTTGGATCCGAGCATAAAAAATTAGATCCGCACCTGAAAATTTTATGTCGGCACTTGAAAATTTTAGTTCCGTATCTGAAATTCTTAAATCCGCACCTGAAAATTTTAAATCTGCGCCTGAAAATGTTAGATCCGCAACTAAAATTTTATATTCATAACTTTTTTGTTCACCTCTGAAACTCTTATACTCGCACCTGAAACAATTAGATCCGCAACTGAAACCTTTGGTCCGCAAAATGTTAGATTCGCGCCCGAGAAGTTTGTATCAGCCCCCTGGAAATCTAGGTCAGCTCATGAAATGTATAGATCCGTCCCTAAAAATTTTATATCCGCCTCTCGAAATTTTAGATCTCCACCTGGAAAACTTAGATTCGCCCCTGAAAATGTAAGATCCGCCGATGAAATTTTAGATTCGAAAAAATTTTTATCCGCAAGGAAAATCTTAGATCAGCGCGCCTGAAAAATTTAGTTCCGCGCAAGAAAAGTTCCGATCCACACCTAAAAAATGTATATCCGTATCTGAGAAACTTCTTTCCACAACAGAAAATTAAGACCCTTGCCTGAAAAATTTAGATCAGCAACTGAAGTCTTAGATCCGCAAAATTTTTGATCTGCAAGGAAAATATTAGACCCGCCCCTGAAAATCATAGATTCGCGCGCCTGAAAAATTTAGTTCCGCGAAGAATTTTTTAGATCTGTGCCTGACATCTTAGATTTGCGCCTTTTAAGGGATTAGGTCATTGCTTCAACCAAAAGATTAGGGTCTTGCGCATGATTAAAACTGATGGGTCAATCAGCCATAAAATGGTTGATTTGAAACAGTACCAAATCCAAGAATCTAGTAAAAAAATTAATTATCAGTTTCAGGGGCAACAAATGGAAAAAAAGAACCAGGAGGTACACATTTTAGTGCTGCAAAAAATATTACCCTTTTTCCACTTGTTTCACTTTTCAGCGTTTTTAATTTTTTTTTTAAATCGGAACCGAGCGAGTTCTACAGTACAAAATAATTGAGGACATGCGGATCTAAAACTCTCTTGATTTTGAAAATCAACATTTTTTCTTTTCTTCTTCATTAACACTAAAAAACTTTCAAATGACAAGACTTTTAATGATTATTTTGACTGGTTTGAGCGCTGTCTCAAGCCAAAATTAAACTTTTAAAAAATCTTAACTGACCGCAATCTTGCCCGATTTGGGTGCCTTCTTGAAAAACTTTGAAAAAATTGATTGTATTAGCCATGATTTCTTATCTGCTTCACTATTAAACTTTTTTTGCAATCATTCGGTTTTTTCTATTGGAATGAAAGTTTATAGCTGCGTTGAAAATAAACGTTGTGCATTGACATCAAAAGCATTCTCGGAAATCACTTACACTCCATGGTTTCCATGAAGGCCAGTTTTTATTGAGCCAGAAATCGAGAAAGAACAAAGCAGGTATTATAGTGCAAACAACACCAACTAATAAATACAGAGCTAATCGACGTTTAGTTGTCCAAATGGCGGCTGATTCTACGCCTCGTGCAATTAGAATGTACCGCTCAAAAGCAATGGCTATCATTAGAATCATTTGACTCCAATATACTGTGAAATCCAAGAAAAGTCTCAGCGCAGTTGTTTCAAAGAAGAGTTTAGATCGCATATCAATGCTGTTTTGCAAGCCTATAAAATTGTTTTCGCTGTCTGCGAAGCTAAACTCGGAAATGTGGCAGAGTTCTAAAAGGTGTAGTGCATAATTTTATACATGTAGACTATATAATAGTTCATATGGATTATGGTTTTTCCGCTGCTATATTTTTTATTAGACCGGTTTATAGCAGAACAGTTTTTTTAGCAAACTGAAACAAATCAGATTGCTAACTTTTGCTTCCTTTGCTCCTCTTTGCTCAAAAATTATGATGACAAAAGTTATTCAAAATTTTTAAATCAAAATTCGAATAGCGCAATTTGATTTGCGATTTTCTGGCCCAAAAATTTGATACAAAAGGGGCCATTTTTGAATGAATACCAATACTTATCAATTTTACTATTGAGAATACCTTTTTTTTTATAAAAAAGCAGTTTTATATTTTCGGAGAACGCTGTGGTTCTGCACAAGAGACTCGCTTATATTTAATAGTTCAACAATGGAGATGTTAATTTAACTAAAAGATTTGTGTGAAACCTTTTGGGCGAGAATTTTGCTAAAATTCATCGTTTTTTCTCGTTAACTTCTAATCAAGTTTTGTCCTCATCTTTTTTTAAGTCGCAGTTTGAGAAAAACGCGTCTAAATTTTATGTTTAGTTTGTTTTGCCCGTTATTAGTGATTTGAAATCAGCCAGGGGCGGAATTAAGGGGGGTGCGGGGCGGAAGCCTTTCCTTTTTCAAGGATTCGACCCCTTGCCGACCCAATGGGTTCCCCTTTTTTACTATTTTGAGATATCCATTTTTGACTGACGGACCCTAAAATTTTTCTAAAGACTTTCGGCACAAATATATATGGCGCCGAAAGCGTGTTTGGTTAAATTTTTCCAAAAAGTGCCTAAAAACGCTGATGTTGGACTGTTTTGAGCAGCGCAAAGATTTGGCCAAAACAGGGTCTTGTTAGTGTTTTGTGAGAGCTCGGAAAATCCATTTGGTCGATTAAAAAAAGGCCGACAAAATTTTCAAAAGTTTGCTGAAAATCTACTCCCTCGATTTTGCAACATTTGATTTGAATGTTTGTGGCAATGCAGTTCAGTTTATATATGCAGAGCGTAAAATAACGTTTTCCTGCTCTGAACATTAACATTTTCTAGAGAAATCACTTACACTCCATGGTTTCCATGAAGGCCAGTTTTTATTGAACCAGAAATCGAGAAAGAACAAAGCAGGTATTATAGTGCAAACAATACCAACTGATAAATACAGAGCTAATCGACGTTTAGTTGTCCAAATGGCGGCTGATTCTACGCCTCGTGCAATTAGAATGTACCGCTCAAAAGCAATGGCTATCATTAGAATCATTTGACTCCAATATACTGTGAAATCCAAGAAAATTCTCAGCGCAGTTGTTTCAAAGAAGAGTTTAGATCGCATATCAATGCTGTTTTGCAACCCTATAAAATTGTTTTCGCTGTCTGCGAAGCTAAAATCGGAAATGTGGCAGAATTCTAAAAGGTGTAGTGCATAATTTTATACCTGTAGACTATATAATAGTTCATATGGATTATGGTTTTTCCGCTGCTATATTTTTTATTAGACCGGTTTATAGCAGAACAGTTTTTTTAGCAAACTGAAACAAATCAGATTGCTAACTTTTGCTTCCTTTGCTCCTCTTTGCTCAAAAATTATGATGACAAAAGTTATTCAAAATTTTTAAATCAAAATTCGAATAGCGCAATTTGATTTGCGATTTTCTGGCCCAAAAATTTGATACAAAAGGGGCCATTTTTGAATGAATACCAATACTTATCAATTTTACTATTGAGAATACCTTTTTTTTTATAAAAAAGCAGTTTTATATTTTCGGAGAACGCTGTGGTTCTGCACAAGAGACTCGCTTATATTTAATAGTTCAACAATGGAGATGTTAATTTAACTAAAAGATTTGTGTGAAACCTTTTGGGCGAGAATTTTGCTAAAATTCATCGTTTTTTCTCGTTAACTTCTAATCAAGTTTTGTCCTCATCTTTTTTTTTAAGTCGCAGTTTGAGAAAAACGCGTCTAAATTTTATGTTTAGTTTGTTTTGCCCGTTATTAGTGATTTGAAATCAGCCAGGTGCGGAATTAAGGGGGGTGCGGGGCGGAAGCCTTTCCTTTTTCAAGGATTCGACCCCTTGCCGACCCCTTGCCGACCCAATGGGTTCCCCTTTTTTACTATTTTGAGATATCCATTTTTGGCTGACGGACCCTAAAATTTTTCTAAAGACTTTCGGCGCAAATATATATGGCGCCGAAAGCGTGTTGGTTAAATTTTTTCAAAAAGTGCCTAAAAACGCTGATGTTGGACTGTTTTGAGCAGCGCAAAGATTTGGCCAAAACAGGGTCTTGTTAGTGTTTTGTGAGAGCTTGGAAAATCCATTTGGTCGAATAAAAAAAGGCCGACAAAATTTTCAAAAGTTTGCTGAAAATCTGCTCCCTCGATTCTGCAACATTTGATTTGCATGTTTGTGGCAATGCAGTTCAGTTTATATATGCAGAGCGTAAAATAACGTTTTCCTGCTCTAAACATTAACATTTTCTACAGTCAATATATTTAACTCGAAAAAATAACTTTTTGACTAATGGAAAAACTCTTACCGTAGGGTTCTCTTACAATCGGACTTGTACAAAATTGTATGATAAGCTATTTTTTAAGCATCTGTACAATTGTTTGAAGCTTGTGGCATGAATATTGAATATTTGTGAATTTCATAAAAAAAGTTTTCCTCCAATCGGAAAATTTCAGAGTGTACTATCAAAAATTAGAATATAATTGGAATGAAGAAACAATTAATTTGAGCGATCTGCAATTGTGAGCCATTTTTGCACATGAAAGTTTGAAATTTTAGCTGACTTTGAGTCATACTTTGTGTCTGAAAATTTTATTCAATTGATCTCTAAAAGTAAATATGCCACATCCCCATAAATGAAGTCGCTTCTGCAGAAGTGCATCCACTTAGAATACGGCTCCAAATAATGGCTAAATTAGGACACCCTAAGTACTTAAACAGTTTTGCAAATTTAGTCCGAATTAGTTTGGTTTAATTTTTTGTTGTCACTGGCAAAGGTTTCCTGTAACTTTTCTAAGGGCTGCTCAAATTGCTTATAAAAAAGATAAAGTGTGAGTTTTGACAGCCCCCCCCCCCTCTCCTTCCCTTAAATCTGCTACTGTGTGTGCTACCAATTTTAATTGTTTTGCAGATTTAAAAAATTATGAAATACGCAGAAGAAATCAAATTGAAAAAATTTCTACACTAGTTTAGCTGTTTATTTCCACTGAATTGTTCCTAATATATTTCGTAAATTTGAAACGACAGAGCCTTTGCCCTCCATTTCCAATAAAAAATTACAAGTAAGCTCACGTACAAAAATAAGTACAAAAACCAAAGAAAAAAAACAGTGGTCAAAAACGCGTCAAAAATTTCAATGATATCTTGGTGGAAGTGACAAGATACTTTCTGACTTCAAGTTGTAGTCCATATTTTAAAATTGAAAATTTTCACCAGAGATATAAAATAATTCAGAGCTGCCGATAAATAAGTTTATTTTTTACCATTCGTTGCTTTTTAACTATGAAAATTAAACCTAATTTTAGTCAAAAATAGTATTCAGTTTTTGATGAAAGTTTTTTCACACGAAGATGCAATGCGCAGGAATTATAGTGGTAGATGCTTCATGCAAGTATTCATGCATAGATAAGAGCAGTTCAAAAACATTCGCGGCAACTTTTCAGGGTAAATGTTACTAAATTAGTTTCGCTACTGTAAGTCGAATCAGTAGCGTGTATAAAAAATGAATAGCGATGGCTGCGCTCACATTTGGCACGAGAGGAATAGTGCACACCCGTACTGAACTTTTTGTGCCATTTCACGGCTGATCATCCATTTAGCAGGGGAGAGAATATTCTCAGGACTGTTCCCCCATTATGCAGGGCTGTTCACAAGTGAGCATGCGTATTTTTCTACAGACGTGTTCATACCTGGATCTTACATGATCAGACCTGAGTGAAACATGTTCATGCCTGTCGCAGACATGATAACGACTGACTGAAAACTTGACAAATTCATATTTATTTATACATTACTTCTTATCTTGACTAATTGGTCTTTCTTGTTAAAAATTTCACTTTTTCAGGTTTTGTTTGAAATGAGTTTATCCAAATTTACCTCCTCGAGTCAAATATCTTCAAATGAAGAAAATTATGTCGCATCTACATCCCAAAAAAAAGGACTTCAGGTTAGTTTCAGGGGGCAACGGGAGGGATAGTCGAAAAAACTAAGAATCCCCGGTTTGAACTATAAAGCATTGAATTGAAGCAATTCGTCACAAAATTTTTTGGCCAATAACCCTTCAATTTTCGCGAACCAGTAGCCGCAATAATTGCGAATAAATTAAAAAGATTTGATTGGTTGATACTACTAATCTCATTGAATAAATTAACAACAAATATGCGACTACTTTTTAACGCATGATTTTTGTCTAGTTTTATTTGTTAAGCATTTATTTAAAGTGATGAATTTTTGACTAACAATTAGCTTATGTTGACAGGAAACAGAGAAAAGTATCCACACGCCCCGCTACCAACGACTCCCTGCTGGCAATTAAAGAAAGATGCATCTAACCGCTACAGTAAATTTTCAACAAAAAACTTCACCAATGTCAAAAAAAATCTGAAAAAAAAACTTAAAATTTGAAGTAAAGTGTCACATTATCAAGCTGAGTTTATGATGTTGTTACAATTTAACCATTTCTTTAATTATCTTATAATACTGAAGATAACGATTTGAGCATATTCGGTTCAGGCATGGTCATGTATCCTGCAGGTGTGAGCATGTTTAGTTCAGGTATGATCATGTATCCTGCAGGTGTGAGCATGTTTAGTTCAGGTATGATCATGCATCCTGCAGGTGTGAGCATGTTCAGTTCAGGCATGATCATGCATGCTGCAGGTGTGAGCATATCTTCAGTTAGCACACCTGATGCAGGTCTGATGCAGGTATGTGCATGCCGAATATAGACATGCTGCATATCTGTTACAGAGATGAATTTTGCATGATTTTACAATGATCAGATATGATTATCGCCAAAAAGTTCGGTACGGGCATAAATTAGAGTTTAACGCTCAAATTATTGTTACCAATGTTCGCTTGTTACGAACTGTCGCCTGACTGTTCGTCTGACGTTTATCTTAGCTTTTCCAAAAATACACTCAAACAAGGTGATTGAAAAAATGTAAGTTGACTCTATTTTTTTTAGGCTGTCGAGTTCAAAATAAGTCAACTTTTTCTCAACAAGTTTTTCATAGTCCAAAAATCCACTATAGCCGCAGAAAAAAACGAGAGCAGTCAGAATCTCCATGACATACTGGACCAGGCCAATAATCCCCGAAAGAACTAGATCCAAAGAACACTGGATTGTAATAAGCACAAAATCCAAAGTGTGCAGCTCCTTATTAAAATAAACGTTCATCACGAAATAGAAGTTCGAAGCCAAAGTTATCAGATAAATTGGGCCCTAGAAAGTGAAAGTCAAGTTCAATTACCCAAGGAGTTGTATAAATGATGTTTCATTTTCTAATCGTTTGAGTTTTGAAATGACTTGGCCAGAAAAAAGTATAGCCGAGTTGAACTCGCAGGGTTAATCATTGCAGATTTCGTAAGCATTTGAAAATGTGATGGCTTAATCAGGCTATGAAAGAGTGCAAAAACACCAGTTGACATTTAAACACGATCAGTGGTGATGATACATCAATCAACCAAAAATGAAAACTCTCTAGAACTGCATCTGTCCGAAATCACCTCTGATTCCGAATTGAGTATTGACAGTTTTTCAGGCTAGAGGAAATTATTTAAATCACAAACATTTTGGATCTTGTTAAGTATTTGCCTCCCCATAGTACCGTGTAACGAATCCCGGTCCCTCCATTAAGACAGAATTGAACTGTAAAGCATTTATGAATTTTGTACCTTGTGAGTTAGGACCGATGTGGTTAACTCATAGAGTAATTTCGGATAGGGTACACCGTCTGCTCGTCACGCTATCTTATTTTCGGCCGGATAGATTCGTGCAACTTCTTAGTCTAATACCGATCCTAATCTTACTCTTTTACTTTCTAGTCTCAGGGTGTTTAACTAGTCTCTGCTAGGCTCAATAGATCTAAAGTATGCTGGTTTATTGCGGCTGCTGAAGATCTCTTGGAGAGACAATCAATTTCTAAGTTAAATTCAAATCTCTCTGGTGCTGAAATTACAAGTAATTTCAGCACTTACAAATAAGTGGGTTGTTAGTTAGATGGATCATGATTGGTTAATATTAAATACTTTACAGTGGTAAAATATCTAATTTATCTAATCATAAAATATAGTTTAGATCAGGTTCCACCCATCCGGGTTTTACAGAGTTTTTTAGAATTATCTTTCTGCAATTCAAAGGATGGATGATGAACGTTGGTATTTGGCGAACATCGTATTCTTGTCCGGTTCCTCTTGTTAGAGAAGTTCCAGGACGCTGGAGTTAGGGGCATCAATCGTTGTGTCTTCTTGTTTCCCAACGAAATCAATCTGATTTCAAATTGGTTTGCTATGACGGGTTTTTCTGTATTATGTAGAGAACTTGTTTTGTGTTCAACCTCGTCTGGGAATGGCCTGGAGGTTGTGCGTGGAGGGGATGCCTTGTAACTCGGATCTGTACGTATACTTGAACATCGAGGTGGTCATTGGTCTAGTTCAATGAAGTCCTTTTCTGCGAAGTCAAGTCGTACTCTAAATCCTTTGAGTTGTGATTGTGGACGGCATATCGGTTGTGGTTAGCCATTCTTGTTCTAGTATAGTGGGGTCATTTTGTCTTTGGATGTTCGTCTTTGTTGTTGTATGCTGATCTATGTACTGCAAAGTATGAATTACATTTTATAAAATTTTTATTAGTTCAGTGTTTTAATTATGATTTTAGTTAGTTATTTTCACAAAAGCATTTTATTTTAGTTCGGTTATTTTGAAGAGTTACTCACCCTTGAGCACCTCCTATTAAAAATAGAAGTGTGGTCACAAAGCGTGGATGTAGCGCGGTGGGTTAGGCCGGCTATAGAGCATGCTCAGGACGTCCTCTCTGGTGGGTTAGGCCAGGAGTGGGAGTATGATTTCGTGCGGTTTCTTTGAGAGGTCCGTTTATGTGATAACGTTTTATGTTGGGTTTATGTTGGTCTTTCTTATGTTCCGTTGGTTGCGTCCTTTTTTCAAAAATCAAATTGTTTTTGTTATGGGTTTGTCTTTCGACTTCTTTGTGTTTATTATTTCTTTCTTAGACTTTATAATATTCTTCAAAAGAATAAACTATCCAGCTTTAAACTGGGTTAATCCGGTTTGGGTACCGTTGGTTTTCTTTTCTTAGTCATGCTGTTATTTTATGATTTATGGTGTTCAGTAAGCTGCGTTGGTTAGTTTGGTTTAGTATATAATTCCTTTCCAACCGGGTTAAAGGAAAGTTTGAAACTTGTTATCGTGTGTTAGAGTTGTTGAGTGTGAAAACTTGAAACTGAAATTCATTATTCAAACATTTCTTTGTGAGCGAGCTGTGCGAGTTTGGATAGAATTCTTGTGCGATTGAATAAAAATATCAAAAGGTTAGTACTGCATTTTCATTTTATTAATTTATTACATAGAATTTCAATTTTACTGCTAGTTTTTGGGGGAAATTTAAAGTTATAAATTTTCATCATATTTAAACTTTCTGCTTTATGGGGGAATATTTTATAAATTAATTTACTACATTTGGTATAAATTTTATCAGATCATTTTGTGGAAAAAATTAATGAAGTTTAGAATAATTTTAACAAGTTTTTATTTTTTTTTCTGTTTTTTGCAGATAATCGTGGTATGAAGACCAAAAATCTAAAAGAACATGAGTAAAGAATGGTTAGTATTAATTTAAATTTATAAGTTAAGAATATTTGTAAATTATACTTACCTGTTAATTGTCTGGGAAAAAACCGTGGGGGAAGATGTCGTGTATCATGTCTGAATTTGTTAGTAATTTTGCTAGTATGCGAATGATGTTTTTAGTTTGAAGCAGTGGCCAAAGCTATTGAAGTGCTTTAATAGTTTTTAGTTCTTCGGTGCCGACTGTGAACTCATAAGGTGTAATTTTGAATAAGATTATATATTTTGTGATTGTATTTAGTATTGTGAATGAATTCTAATATAGGGATTTCTATAGGTTGGATAAATTCATGTGGGATAAGGAAGGGTCTGGATTCTTCAGCATTAAAGGTCTTCGTGATGGGACAAAATATATACATTTGTGTTATTGGGTCGTAATTGCGGAGGATGCCGTGGAGGTTAGTATCTTTGATGCAATAGGTGAAGTTTAGAAAAAATGGCGAAGTGTACTTAGAGTTAAGAAACTGAAAACGATGGTGTGGTTGTCTTGATGGAGTATGTAGATCAAAATGATTTTGTATGAAGTGATAGTATGTATATGTGTGAGTTTGTTTAGTGCGTAACATTATGTCATGTGAACAGTGCAAATCGCGTTCATGTGGTGCAAGGAAGTGAAAGGTTAGTGAAAATAATTGAAATTTTTCTTTAAAACTTTCGTAAGCTTGCATATCAGTTAGTGCTTCAGAAATGATGTGATCATATTTTCTATCAAAAATATTGAGTGTGAATACATATGATGTTTTGATGAAACATTTTTCTGTTAGTTGTGGGTTAGCGACGCGATCGTCATCTAAAAATTGGTCTTGATTAGTTCGGATGATATTATGGTCGTAATATTCTAGTGTAAATTCGTTAGCTCGGGGTGCAGTGAATGTTTTTAGTGATTTCTTATATCCTATATAAGTAAATTGTCTAGGTGTTAGTGTTGCGGTGAGTCTATATAGCATATCTTTATTCTTCTCAAATCGCTATGAGTATTAGATAGTGGTAGGCAAAGGGGATTAGTAAAATGATAATATGTTGTCCAATGAAGTGTAGGCATTAAAACATGTTCATCTACAAAACTACGTGTGTCGTTAGTGTCGTTAGGTGTGTTTAAGGTATATTGTGGAAATGAAGGTAAGGTGATTGCTAGAAAATCTTTCGTGTTAGTGTGGTGTGGATGATTAATCTATTCGCGGGCTGTTACTGGTTTGGTCGGGAATGGATGGTTTGGGAATTTTCTTTTAAAAGTGCGATAAGCTCGGTTAGTGCTATTTAATGATTCGGTGGATGTAGATGACTGTGCTTAAAATGCAGTATAAGCTGAGGAGGGTGTAGGAGTAGGTGGGTTTGAGGATTCTATTGTGGAGGAAATCTGATTTATAGTGAGGGTGTTAGGGTGTATTAGCTGTTGTTGTAGGGTGATAAAATTATCGAGTTCTTGGGAGATTTGAGGAGTATCGGGAGAATTAGATGATCGGTCGGAATGAAATGGAGAATAGGTTGGAGTTACTTGTGAAGCATAAGAGGGGGTAGAAACGGACGGGAGTGGGTTATTAGGTGGGATTGGTTGAAAAGGAGGCTTTGAAAAAACTGAGGAGTTGGTTTGAAAATTATTGGATGGAAATGGTTCGGAGTCTGCAAATTCGTCAGGGGTTTCTATATTAGGGTTATTGAGTTGTGAAATGGAGTATAAAACTGAAATATCTGAATTAGTGTCCGAATTCATGCTTGATGTTATTTTACTAGTTCGAAAATTGGGTGGCGGGAAAGCAAAAAGTGGAATGATTGTAATTGGAGTGTTGAGGTTGGTTGGATGGGAATTTGAGCGGTGTAGGGATCCAAGTTGTCGGCTCATCGTGGGCTAAAAAATTTATTATTTTGAGACTGAAAAGCGGTGGTATGGGGTTGTTCGATAATTTGTTCATATGTATTATCATTTTGTGAATGATGTGTCATTATGTGTTGAATGGGACTTTGTGTTGTATTTGGTCTAAAATTTGGATTATTTATGATTGCTAGGTTTCGAAAATTTCGGGGAACTAATGATAATGTATGGTTTTGTGGTAGGTGTGGTATCTGTGGTGCTGTAGGTGTTGTATCTATATTTCTATGTTCTTCGTCGTATGTGTTTTGTCTTGTGGATATTTTTGTTTTATTTTCTTTTATTTGTGCATCTAGAAGTATTTTATTGATTGATGATGAAAAAATTCCAAAAAATTCTGCAAATAGTATACGTGCTACACTTGCTTGGCGAGTTACCTGTGTGTGTATAGCGCATTTGTTATAGATTTCTTTTAATAGTGAGAAAAGAAATCCTATAAAATTAAACATAGCGTATAAGATAGTTAATTTTTCTAAGATGTAATAGGGCCATCCTAGAAAGGCGAGAATTTCATTTTTTAATGTGATAGAAATGAAAATATTTATGGGTGAAATATCTTGTGGTCTGTATTTTTCACCGTTTAAATATATGTAATCTTTAATATCCTTAAAATATCCGCTGTAGTCTTGAGTATAAATTTCTGCAAATCCTGCGGTTTCAGCAAGTTTTCTTAAATTCTGATCGATTGATTGTCGTTGTATTGTGTCCATTTG